GTACCCCTTGCGAGCATCAGGGGTGACGTCACTCAGGATCCGTCTCTGATTGGTCGGCGGGGGAGTGACTGTACCTTCTATAGATGGCCTTGGCAATAATGTTATTTTTCAGCTGCAATTTGCGAGACTATTTCGGTTACCCTTAAAACGAAAAGAAAGATTTGGGAACCATCCACCAGGAATGCAAGAAAATGAGTTTGATGGGATAAGCCGTGTTTGCGGCGTTGAATTGATAACTGTACCATGTCCCTCGGTCGATAACGGAACCTTCTCAGTTTATAAAGGAAGGTGTGCTAAGATAAGCACAAAGTACATCGCACCCCATAATTCCAAAGCCGCCGACGATGGCCTAGCTAAAAAAAAAAAAAAAAACGTCTGAAAGTATCGCCACATGCAGCTCTTTTGCCATGCTACTGACATAAGGAGAATTGACGTCTCCGGAGATTATAATTGAGGTCCGAGAACAGTGAAAGTCGCACGCTGACTGATCCAGACTGCATAAGGCGGACGGCAATTTTTTAGTTTACTTGCCATTGGGTCTGCCTGCAGTGCAGATATATTTCTGTCTCGCATTCCTCTAAGATAGAAAATAAGAATTTGATGTCAGCGGAACTTGATGGCAGAATCCCACTGAGATGCAATTGCAAAGTTGCTAGGGTTTCAGCCAAAAAGCATGCGTTCAACTTATGAAACGCCAATAACTACTAGCATTCACTAACTACTAACATTTTTATCGTTGTTTGTGATGAACATCGGTATGATGTTTTTTGTGGTTTTAAAACGCAGCTACACTTAATTTTTATTCCTATGTGTTAGTGAATATGCTTAACTTTTTAATGAAATGTGTTGATTATGGTTATAATGAAATATGTAGGCATAAGCCTCTACTTAAAAAGATAGATTATTCTTGACGTTCCACTTGTGGGAAATCGAAAATCCTCTCCGCGTGTTCCAGAAAAACTCGCTTCTTCGTCTCGGTCTTCAATACGCTGCTTGGTAGGTGTACCTAAAGGTATCCTAATCTTCCTCTCGAAGCCGTGAATACAAATAGTTCTCTTTATCCATGCAGCTTCCTGACCCCCTCACGTTCACCATACTCTCTCATGCGGACACGCGTGACTTTTCTGAAGAATCAGCTACTCTACTTATGTCGGGTTCTTGAATAAACAGCTTTGATATTCATTCATACTAGTCACCATGCCACGACATTTAACAGCTCCTTCATTTTAGTAGGCATGAATATTGACCGATCTAGCTCCTGCCATCAACAACTGATGACATCGCTTCTATTGCTTCCCTAATCATCATAACTTTGTAACATCGGTATTTGGCTGCTGGTTACAGCAGCGTTGAAATGTAGGTACATTTTCCGGAAACGTGTGCAAAACACTAATGAACAGCTCAGGTCTTATGCTTGTACGACCTTTTCCCGACAATTCAAAAGGGGCGCAATTTTTCAACACTATATCCATAAGTTAACCACAGCATGTTAGTCCCTGACCTTCGCCCATGAAATACCCAGGCGACCATTCGACCAGAGCAAGCGGAAATGACATTGGGAGCCCAATATTCGCTACCTGCTGTGTGGCGGTACTGGGCGCCACATTTCACTGAACAATAACAAAACGCGGCCCGCTCTGCCCGTCATCGTGTCTTATGACGGTTCGATGGTGCAGAACGCATTTCGCGCGGTTTATGATTCTGTAAAATTTTGTCTTTAGATCAGCAAAATGGCTGATTCATGCTAGAAATGTTCCTGAGCCATAAAGCTTCCACTTCAGATATAACTACTGAAATACGTATGTATAGTCGGTCAAATATGTATCTTTCCCGGCCGGCCCTCCCCATGCTGGGCAGGTCGGTAACTTGGCTGAATCCGCCGGCCGCTGCGAGTACTACGGAGGGAAGGGGACAGGTTGTGCGGTTGCCGCGTCGGCCAATGAGCGCGGACCTGGCGAGCGGGCTGGGGCCACGGCGTGTTGACCTAATATGGTCAAAGGTTCATGCCCTGCGGGTATGGTCTGCGGCCAGCTGGCCCACTGATTGAGCCACAGCACCGGGTCGCGGAAAGGTTTCGATAGGTATCTGAATTTTAGAGTGGAGACCGTTAGCTTGAACTTGAGTGTAGTCGCTCTAGGTTTGAGATGCCGTATCACTGCACCGTTTTTGAAAAGGGGAGAATTATTCAGTTGAGTGATGAGGGTAGAACGGTTGCAGAAATCGCACATCAAGTTGGCAGAACGCCAATAACGATCCGGAAATGGTTAAACAGATTCGCTGCAGAAGGAGAGCCCGGATTGACCTGACCTCAGGTCATAGATAAAAAAATCCGAGACATACATTTTGTGGATATTGTCACCCTTACTAACTCCTGAAAGTTTCATATCGATCGGTCAACAGTTGTAGCTTTGGTGCAAGTTCAAACTTTTTGTGACGTTAGGTCACTCAAACCGACCTGTTGACCTGACCTTAAGTCATATAAGGTCAAAATTCGCACACAGTATGCGCAATAGATGGAAAAACAGGTATGCAAAATTTGGTGGCGCTGCACGCCGCCGTTTTTCGGCTATCTGCGAAAAACCTGGGGGGGGGGCGCAAATCGCCCCCCCCCCCCGGCCCGGCGCAGGTTAAGATTTTCAGTAGATATGGCTTAACGCTTTCCCGTTAATGCCAAAAAAAAAAAATGAAAAAAGTTTTTGCTTTATCAAAAAATAACCGGTCATAATTCGATTAAATATTTCTCTTGCGCTAATCATCATATCACCAAGCATTCGATCGTATCAAGAGCAACCATCTTAATTTTTAGGTCAGCGACCCCTGTTGAAACACCAGATAATCCTTTGATAGCTCATAGCACTCAGTCTACAATTTACACGGCGCATGAAAGCACAGCCATCATTAGACCATCGCGCTGCCCTCACATTCGTTAGATTCCTAACGCATCCGCTTGCTCGCCTCTCCCGGCCAGACCCGCCGGAGCACCCGGCGGCGAGGCCGTCCAGTGCTGGTCTGCGGTCACTCTCCAGCCGGCCGCTGTGTAGCTCCGCCCCCCGCGCGTGACGTCACAGGGCCGCCAGAGCCGCCAGGGCAGCTGGGGTGTGGGCTCAGCCAACTATCGAATCCAGACCGTAGCGCCACTTGGCGGCCGGGAAAGATACATATTTGACCGACTATACCTTACCTATCGTGCGTCGAGCTTGACTATTATCAGTCATATTGAGGCATGTGCCAAACTTTAATGAATTGAATAAAAAACATTTTCTCAGCATACGCATTTGCTAACAACGATACAAAACTACAGAACGTTGTGTGTATCGTCACTTTGTGTTATGTTCCGGTATTTGTAAATCAATAGCGATGTATTGAATTTGACACTCTCCAACTCCAAATTTGATTTTGCAGGACTCGGGTATCGGGTGGGAGATGACATCACTATCGATATAGAGGTGCAATTTTGATATGAGGGAAAAGCAATTAATTTTTTAACTTTTTATGTAATTAAAATAACAACGTTGAAATCGTTGGTTTTGCTAACTTGCGTGATAATTGATATATCAACCGTATATCCACTTTTGCCTGTCTGCGCCGTGTAGAACCAGTGAGCGTAAGAAAGGAAAAGTTCAAGTTCGGTGGATGCGGCTGGCGGTTGCGTTAGTGTCACGACTCAGGTGACGTCTCGAGGATAAGGTAGCTTCTTTGACGATTGTTCGAACATTTGACGTGTTTGCTCCCTGCGACAAACAGGTAAACATGCGTCCATGACAGGAGGAAACTCTTGCAACGTTCCGTTTAGTTTTCTTAGCATTCGGGCTCATGGCAATGTTTGATCAGTTGAAGTTTCCTTAGTAGAGCTTGGACATCATCCGGGCTGAAGATTCAGATTAATGTACTTGCCTGTGCTGCTTTCGCTCCTTGCCATGAAAACGATTCATGCTTTTTAAACACGGCTAATGTTCATTACAATTATGTAGCTAAGTAGCAACATGCAATTAATATGTGGCCACTGGCACTGGCTACTCTCTGGCATCAGCATGGACGATTAGAATTGATAGCTAAAAAACAAACAAACAATTATTTAATCAATGAGACACGTTAATCCAAGACATACAAATGAGAATTGGTACTTGCTGCTGCCAGTTCGGTGTTCGGTTCGCTTTATCAGTTAAGACGATCCCTGAGATGAGCTTCCTTAGAACCCTCATTAGTGGAGCTACGATGCGTATCGTTCAAGTCATCAGCCCCTATAAATGGGCGCCCGACACTGGACCTCGCATGCGGGTTGCGGGCTTTTGGGTTTTCGAGTTTCTTCAAAATTAAGTAGTACAATCTATACTGAGTGACCCACACTACCATCTAAGAAGCAAGTCTGCATGTTTTTAGCTTGCGAGCTACCTTGCATCGCATTCGAAAAGTTAGTTTTGAGTCAACTTTCGATTTTCCTCGCTGCGAGGTCTGCGAGTTTTTCGTTGGAGTCTAATTTTGGTTTGTTGTGCTGGTATTGCGACAATATGTAATTTTCTGAAGGTGTACCGGCTTCACTGCATTCATGAAGTGACCATAAGGGAACGGTGTAATCACTCTATGAATTAGCGTTATGCCCTCAAACTCAAACCCGCAAACTCGCAACCCGCAAGCGAGGTCCAGTGTGGGGCGGCGTTAAACCACAAGAATCCTGCCATCATAACTTCTGAGCACCACATTTGTCTTGATGAGACGTGAACGAATTCAACGTCACGGAAAAATATTTTCGCGAACTCTGTCAACACGGAGTCGAAAATAGAACCAGGAGTGCTTAGGGTTGTAACTGCCGTAGCATGACGCGCTCGGTGAATACGCGATTACATCACTACCGAGTACGAGTGGACAACATCGCGTGACCGGTGCACACGGCGCGGGCATTCCGATCGGGACACACACGAACCGACATGACAGGGCGACAGTCGCCCGGCGCACGGCCGGACCGGTCCCCTGGTAACCCCAGGCCGGATGTCCCTACTCACCAGCACAGTCTGACTCCACGCACTCATGGCTGCGGCGCGTGTCGGTCGATGTGTCACCAGCAGTGCTCAGTCCCGTGCCCGCCGCCCGTCGCTTCCCACTGCCTTCTGCGCCGCTGTCCGAGCCGGCGCGCCGCCGTCGTCGCGTCGCGGCCGGCGGTCCGACCCCTCCCTCTCAGCGGCGCGGCCGGACCCCGGCGGCGACCCCGGCGGGACCACGCCCTGTACCGGACCCCTCGGCTCGTGCTCCGGCCCGTGCCGGGGGCCGGCCCCCGCCGTCCTCGTGGTGACCTACCACGAGCGCAGGTGGCCAGCAGTGCCCGCGGTCACGCCCCGGGCCATGACTGTCGTGATATGCGACGGCCGCGGAGGGCGGGCAACGCACCGTGCGCTCAATGACGACTTAGCCCGGCGGCGCGCACGGTCCCGGAAGAAGGGAAAGTCCCCCTCCGCCTGCGGGCGTATCCGTGAGCCGGGGAATAGGCAGCGCTCACTGAAGGTGACTCGGCGCCCGGTCAGGGCGCGGTCCGCCTTAGATGACGTGCGGTGCGCTCTCGCCGATCACTGATCGATATCATTTCCTCCGGTGGTTCTTTGAACTGAGTTTCTGGGGTAATGAGTCTGAGCAATTAGCCGATAGCGCCCCTGATGAACGGTGTGAAGTGACACGTGATTGGGACGCAACAGTTGGTGGCGGGATGTGCAGGGCTGGAGCTTCACGAGCTGCGGGTTGGATTAATTTCACCGGTGACTTTCACCGTTACAGTCAGTTAAACATCATGGTTCTATCTATTTATAAGATTAGTTATATGTCATGTAGATTATGCATTTGCAAAGCCTCTCACATTATAGCCGCTCGTCAAGAAAGCACTAAAGCCCGCCGCTTGCAATGACGCGTGCAGTGTGCCCACCTACGATTGCCAATTTTTGTACAAATGCGAAGTAAAATCTATCGACTTCAATAGGTAATAAGCTGATGAACTAAACAAACGCTGTTTTAGTTCCCACCACAAGAACATGTTTATGGACTTTGCTTTGCCTAATTACTTTTATGCTTACGGATTTCCTGCCTTTATGATCACGCATCACTTGTATCCACCTTTAACATGGCTTGGCATGCTACCTAGCGGGCGAGTCTATAGGATTCCATTTAAGATACAATTTAACAAATGCGCAAATATCTGTAAACCTTTTCACTAGTGCCTAAAACATACCTGTCAACAAATGCATGGAAGCCGTCAACTTAACGACTAGAGTCCACATATCACGTGGCAGTAATTGAATCCAATTAACTTGGCGAGTTTTCCGGGACCGCGGTGCATTAGCGCTTTGGCTCAATTTTCCGGTGACGCACCTGGATCAGTAATTCAGTCCGCAACGTGTCAGTGAAGGAAATGTCCGAGGCGCCTAACCAGGCGCCTGAATCATGACTCCATTACGCACCTTTTCGCCCCGTTCCCCCTCCCCTCCCCCACCCCTCGAGCACCAAAGCTGACCCTGCAGCCTGCCGCCCACTTATTTCTCCTGTGGACGGGTGCCGCCTTACAGCGGTTCCTGTGCTGATGGCAGCGTATAACTGGCTCCCGGATAAACTGAGGCCAGTGCCCGCGCCTGCAGTGTCGAAACTCGTCTGCTAGCTCAGCGTGATCTGGCCAGAAGTGAGCGAAACCGTCCCCGATTCGCGGCACGTCGCTAATGGCCCGGTGTGACTCGCCAGTCAGTGTCATTGGTGAGTGGTGACACGGGAGTGTGACTAGCGGTCAGTGTCACTGGTGACACGGGAGTGTGACTAGCGGTCGGTGTCACCCATGGGACCGCGTGATGCGGTGATACCCGTCGAACCGACGCCATGAGCAGAACAGACGGCTCACTGAGCCGAGGTCGGCTAGCAATGACGGAAAATCCCAACAATGGCGTGTAGTAAGTTGTCACTGGCTTTAACGCTATTATTTCAGTTATGTATGTAATCAAAACTGCGGCCAAATTGAGCGGACCAATGTCTATGCTACCCGCAACTTGATTTGTAGCTTGCGGTCTTTGCGTAAGCTTGCTAAGTGCATACTGCGGACCTACCACTCATGCTGCGTCTGCTACTGCACCGTCAGACCGTAAAGCATGTAGTGTCACTCCATGTGAAAATGTGGTCGGCAATACGCGGGTTTTCTCACATATGCATAGTTCCGTTGACGGTTCTGGTTTTTACGATCCGTTTTTCCCATTGGCCATTGCCGTCAGCTTTTAGTGAACCTGGACTTCCTCCTGGACAGTTTCTCGTCCTCTGCCGTCGGATGGGCGATCTCCTGCGGGGAGACGAGGGGGACGCGTCCCCTCAATTATTAAAAAAACATCACTCTGGAAACTGCAAAGATACCGAAGGGATATTAAAAGGGCCATGGCTGACGGGTCAAGCCTGCGAGCAGGAAAAGGCCAGCCTGCCATTACAGTCGAAACGACTCATTAATCAGTTAGGTCATAGGCACAGTACCTATTAGTTATTGGTTATTTTTATTGGCCGAGCCCGAACCGCCTTCCGCGACCTTCTGCTGTTGTTTCTCGAAGGCCATGGTGCGGAGGGCGGGGACAGACCCTGAAAATCCCCCTCCTTCAATCATACGTGTTGGCAGTCATGCGCTGACCTCTGGCCCGTCTCCGGCGGCGCGGACATAACCCCCGTCCGTTCGTGCGGCGATTCGTGTGGTGGTGTGACGCGCGTCACTTTTGACGTGACTGCGGCACTTCACGGCGTGATGCTCGTGGTCGGCCGGCCTCACGGCGGGCCAGGGACTGGCCACCGAGTCTGCTAACTATAGCTCTAAGGTCTAGTTTGTTTGCAATTGCACATATGCTCATATTTTGATGCTGATGCTGATACTTGGCATGTTGATGCTGGAAATACCGGCTTTTAATGCCTGGTCATTCTGTCCGACCATACACGGCTTCCCGCACGCGTTTCTGCTATGAAAATTAATTAAAGCCAATGTTTCTTATAAAAGTTGTTTAGCTTTCTTTCTGTTCTGGAAAAACGACAAATTTGGATCGATTTTGGGCGCTGCGAGGGGGCATTTGCCCCAAATGTCCCCCCTTGGATCCGCTGGTGCCTGTGCTAGGCTAAGACGTTGACATCAGTGTTCGTCCGTTGATTATCTGTTTTTTTTTGTATGATACTTTTGATGGATTGAAGCGTTTTTCAACCCACCGAATCTGAGCCCAGACATTATGATTAGGTATGATCCTAAAGGTAGGTATGTAGGTGCATGAGTGTGAAGTGTGAATTAGGTGCATGCTGTTTGGCCCAACTGCTCTTAGGATAAGTGCATCTGTCACTATGATTGAGGTGATAACTATAAGTATTTTAACAATTGAAAACAAGCTTTCTGTTATTGATCAGTCATCACGGAGCCTGTATTTCACATAGACTGTGCCGCATGGCATCCGTGTGCTCCGGGATAGCCCATCTGTCCGTCTGACATCTTGTCAGAAATGGCATGGAAAGGGCCTGAATTATCTCTGAGTTTATATCTACGGAAATAACTAGAATAAGTAAAAGGAAAGAAAGCCAAAATATAAATGTGATAAGACAGCTCACAAAGAGTATGCGTTGCATGTTAATGCCATTGTTGCTTTTCACGTTGAGCTGAAGGTGCAATGTTGACTACGTGGACTCGAAATGTGTTAATTACTGCGAGTTGGTGCGTAGGTATATCGGCACTTGAGAGACCCGTTCGATCCGATTTTTAACAACCATCGACCACTGCACCCTATAGCTCTAACCGTGCTAATGCCGGCCACAAAGTGGTCAGAACCGCTGCGACTGAACTGCTGACGCGGTAGCCGCTCGATTAGGTGTGTGTTCATGTGGAACGGTCAAACGATTTCACAATGGCCGAGACATTGGAAAATCCGCGCTGTGATACGCACTGCTGGTTATAAATGTACTCTGTCCTTCGCTATGGTGGAGGGTCAAATATGGAACTAACAGAGTGCCTACATGTATCTAACTACACTATTCTATTGTATTGAAACCCAAAATATCTTCTTTTCGCTTTCGGTTACATTCGCTATATTGAAGATTGACAATCTGATGAAAATGTTTCTGCATGTGACTTGCAATGCCGGATCCAGAAAGGCGGGTTTTGGACGCTGGGGGGAGGGGGGGGGGTATATCCTAAAAAAGTTTCTCCAAATTCCAAAATCTCATCGGATTCAGGTTTCTGACGCCCTCCTGTGTATTTTAAAACAAACTTTCCCCGATAAAAGTTGTTTAGTTTTCGTCTTATCCTCGAAAAAGCGCAAATTTTCGTCGATTTCGTGCGCTGTGGGGGGGGGGGGGCATTTGCCCCAAACACCCCCTCCTGGATCGGCTGCAGTGCGTGACTTATAAGCAAATAAACGGCATGACAGCAGGCAGATTTATAAAAAAAAAATTATTAGATGACATGAAGTTTTAGAGCATGCGCTCCAATAAAAAATATGCCGTTTCTTGGCACGCATAAACCCAGGCGTCAGGTTTTTAGTGCGAGTCTCCGCCTTTCAAACTGACGAGGTGGAGGGGGGACGGGCTCAATCCGATTCGGTGTTCTCTTTTTGCTACCGGCGGAATTGGTCTTGGGGTCAGTAGCAGCAGTTCATTTCCATATCAGGTGAAGTCGGTGAGAGGGGCGGGCTGCTGTTACGGCTTTGTGGATGCGATGCATGCATGATGCATCTACATGTTCATCACTGCGCTCATTCTTACAATGTAAGAATTGTGCATGGCATTGTCCGATCGGTATAAGTACTAGGAATGTAGGTCAGGACAAGACTTACAACCTCTGCTTAGCCTTGGCCTTGGAAATGCATTCATTTTAAGTATCTACCCGGACCAAACTCATGAAAAACTAAGGAGTGTTTCACCAGAGAGCACATGGAGACAACAGCGATCTCTGTTTTTCTTGTCAGTATAAAGTTATCACAGTGACAAACTGGGTTGGCATTTGCTTTTAGAAGGCTTCCCGCATCATGATCAGCACGCTTTATCTAATCATGTTGTTAAATCATGCAAGGACGAGTCCGGCTCGTCGCATGCCTAAGATTGGCACTTGGATGCTCATTGCTCAACTAAGCCCTAGAAAGTAACTGAC